AGACTCCAACACGCCGACGGACTGCAACAATCCGAATCCAATATAATCACAAAGATTAATCTAATCACGTTCAAATAAGAAACACATGTGACCTATCATACTCGTAATATATAAAAGTTCATCATAATGCAAAAAATGTCTTTTCGAAGACGAGAAGGATGGATTACTGGTGAGAGATTAGCGAACTAAAAAACGATCTGTAAGAAATCAGTGCATATTTTAGATCAGTAGAAAGTGGCCACCTTACTCTTCATTTAAAATGTTAAAAAGTGAAGAGCGTTGTGATGAAAAAATTAGCAGTTTTGGATAAATTTTGAATGTGCTTGATGATACTGTTGATTAAGTTGAGTAAAGCATATTACAAATATGTATATATAAATGACACAACGATGTTCGGATTATCGAAAAATTCAGAAACATGGCACGAAGGCTTACAATAGAAAATTTACATCAACATGTTGCCTTCGAAAGCGAGGCTTCATTCCCAATCGTAAGGCATGTTAAGTTCAATTAACATTCCAGCGTCAATAAACAACTGTAGCTATAAAATCAACGTTGGCTGTCAATACGAAGATATTCTCGAACAACTACTCAAAAACTGTATGCGTCAAGCTTGGAAACGATCAATGCAGTGAATGGGAATGACCTCGAACTGAAGACTGATCAATGTTGATGGATATCAAAAGACAAGTTGATGCGATTAGCAAAATAGATGATGAAACAGGCACATATGCAACACAATCAAATATGCAACTACTAAACCAATGAACTGACTTTTAACGACTAGCACATAATAATAACGATACGATACATACCATGCAAACGATACGCACTAAAACAACTTGCAATATCCAACAAAATACATGTGTAAAACTACCGTAACACCTTTCCCTATCCACTACCGTATATTGCGCACAACAATAACAGAAAGGTGTTATTCACTGAATGAATATCGCTTGATTCGCATATGTAATGCAGATTTGCCGTCGGTTCAACATGAATTTCAAAAAATGCAAAACATGAATACAACAAATTTGATTTTAATCAGAACAAACAACATACGTTGTCTGATCAATAGGAGGACGGATACGAACACACGCAATCAAATAATTGACAATATTTGAAACATTCCAAACGAATGATTCAACGAATATGGATAATTATCTGAACAACGGACCAGAATAAAACTTATAATTAGATATTGAAAAATGCAAATTACAAAAGGAGTGAGCATAAAACGGCAGAGAGGCTTAAAAACCATATCATAAACTGTATCGTTTTTTATGTTCGTTTTTATCTCGGATTGGAGAAATTGATCAAGTAATTGAATAATCTGTTCGAGACCGTTTCGGAAAACAACCGTATCTTATCGTTAGCGTTGGAATGCCGCAATCAAACAGCGTTGAAACAGCAAACAAAACAAAACAATTATGAGAGATGCACTCGCAATAAAATTAACCATTCAAAAATATCGCCTCCATTGATAAATTTTTTCCAGATTTCGATGAATAACTGGTGATCGTTTGCTCACGAGAATAAGAGTGGTAACACAGAGAATATCATTATGAATTACAAGATAATAGATATTTGGTGGGTAAACGTAATTCAGTAAAAAATTTTGCGAACAACGAAGCAAGTTGAGTGGATGGATGTCGTTGTTCGCTTTTAATGAATAGACGATACGAGCTATCGGTGCAACGATCCGTTCCCTTCATCACTTCCGGCATTCATCTCAAACACGCTGGTGTTCGAGCGCCGCGGCTTGTTGCTGCGTTACAGCGGCAAGTTGCGATTGTGCAGCTGTAAGTTGCGCAGCATAAGTGCTTGCCGGTAGAACACCGTAGGGTGTATACGCGTACTGCTCAAAGCCGGTAGTACCCGCCGTTGAGACTGAAATTGCACTGTTGATGAACATTCTTCACAGAACTGTGTCTTGTGCTGATTACGGCTACACAGAACACAACGATGCACAACAGTTAATGGTGTGCAAAACAATACAAATGAGATGATGTTATCTAGAGTTTTGCATGGAAACGCAACTCGAACGGAGGTATTACTCTGGATATTATCCCAAATGAAGGTTTGCTGTTTCAGTGTGACATTAATGTGTATAACATCATCTCATATTCAGTGTAACATCAACTACAAGCAGGCAGAAGCGTGTTGGGAGGATCAGCAACTAGAGGGAAAGGATAATTTCAACGTAAACCGATAAGAACATGTGATTCGACGCTTCAGCGAGACTGAGTGAAAAAGCAGCGCGATCTGGTTGATGATGTAGAGCAGCGAGCAGCTGGACCATGCCGTTTTTTTGCATTAGCGTAAATTGTTCGGCGATTCTGGTTAAATGAAATTTGGTTTAAAGCATCGAACCGGTGGGGTGAATAGCGAAAGTGTTCTGTCCTCCCGCAGCGGCAGCGGCAGCGAGTGTAGCGTAATCGATGTATTGCTGCTGAGGTTGCGAAGAGGCCACCTGTTGTTGGACTGCAGCGATCGTCGTTGGCGTTTGTTGTAGACCAGTCAGAGTGTTCAGCAACGGATTGTTCGAAGGATAGTAGAGTTGAGGAAGGCTGGAATTTGCAGTCAATTAACAGTAGAGTGCTTGAGTAGCGGGTTGNCACTGACAATGAGCAAACTGCCATTTGTATATTTTGATCGGCCGGCTCACATTCACTCATTCAGAAACTATCTAAACGAGTGGCATCCATAACATCGCATTAGACAACAACAAACGCATAATTCGTTTTAATCTAGCAACAATCGAAACCGTCCATTATCAAATGCTGTCCACCTCACTAACGAATCGAGAAAGTTTCCTTTGTTCCAAAGCATAATTTTGGCGTATTCGAAATAACTTTGAATTTCTAATTATGCATTGTTCTATTGGTTTCAACAGAAAAGCTCACAAATTCAAGTATTCTCTCGACATCAATTCGCTAACTATGCTAACGATCATTCAAACAAATCAGTGCAATTCACACCCATCAAAAATGCGATGCAAAGAGAACACATTTTTTGTTGTGGTTAAGCGGAACAATTTTTCATTGTAAAGGTTAAAAAATGTGCCTTTAAACCTCGATTTCATTTCATTCGAAACTGGATGAGCGAAACCCATGCTCCTCAATATTCTATCTACTATGGCAGAACGCTGATCTAGTCATCTGACATCTCATCGGAGAAGACTTACTCGTATACCTTCATTTGGATTTTCGTATCTATTCCCATTTTCGTTCCAATTCCCGGATCAGAATTCGCATCAATTAATGCGTTTGGTCCATTCAATATTTAAACCTTTTCATTTATTCAACCTTTTCAATGTAGATGCTGACCACTAGAGCACTGACCTCCAAAATATTTGCACTGGACCCGTTGAATCAAAAAATAAGAGCCATATATTAAGATAAGCAAAATAGACCAACGAACAATTTTACTGTTGTTGCTATGTGCAGTTTTCAGTAGAATTTTTTGAACTGATGCTTCGTAAACAATGAATTTATGCTTGGAAAAGTTTGCGTTAAAATCTCTCCTAACTGCTTAAAATGTAAGAGAGCAATCAGCAATGTGCAAATAAATCACTCGGGCGGTATGATAATTGAACGAAGCAAATGAAATGAAATGAATGGTGAGTTTTAAAGATGATGTGTTGTGCACAAGAGATTATGAATAATCGTAAAGCGTCACACCAATAAATCACTGTTGCTGTTGAGTGAATGATCCTTTGAACTACCTGTGCAGGTTGATCAGTTTCCCCTCATGCACAACACTACTGAAGATCATCAAAACACTGCAACAAGAAACGGTAGTTGTGATACTATGCTATCGACTTTGTCTTCAATGCATCGCATTCACATTTATCACACTTGAAGTGTACTCATCTGAAGTTCGATAGCATAATCGCACAACTCCTTAACAATCTCAAGGTAAACGCGAACAAGCGTTGAGAGTGCCACAGCTCTTCAATGAAAAGCACACTCACTTCGGTTGAATCTTTCCATGCAAGGCTTTCTCTAGCAATTTTTTGTTTCAATTTTCCAGTCTTATACTACCCAAACTTTACTATCTAATATAATGCAGTCCTATTACTCATCTTAATGGCAGCATATCTAGCAGTTCATTATGTTGCACAAAAAACGGTCATTGATACGGCTAACTCTGAGTGACCGACTCAACAGTTTCAAGCGTCCTTACTTCGAACACAGTTTTTATGACAAAAGAGCAAAACAAAGGGAAGGACTTAAACTAATGCATTCTGTAAAACATGATTTTGTTATGAGTTGTGTAGAGTTAATGCTGCGATTTGATCGAATATACATTTTTCAAAAGCCTTGCAGAAAAGTAGTCATCAACCTGATGCTTTAAAAATGACGGATACTACCGATATGAAACCGATCTAACGCGAACCCAACAACCCTTTCAAACAAATAGCACCCGAAAGGATTACACTAATACCGAAACATCGCTGCGTTCATTGTCCTTTCATCCGAGCACGTTCAATCACTGCTCATAATGCAATAATCACGCTCACAGTTGTCATTCACTCACTCACTTGCATTTACCAACCATATATGACATCTTCCAAAAAAAGATCAAATGCAAATTGAAAATATTACCCGGCGATGCGGCCGGGGAAGAGAGCCTGAAGTTGTGTTTGAAGTGGTAATTGTTGAAGTCCACTAGAGAGCGCTGAAACAAACTGTTGAAACGACAGGAGCAAAAAAACACCATGCAACAAAAAACACACCCAAACCCGCACTTCAATCACAATCAAATTATTTAGTAATATCAATAAATAGCGCACACTAATCAACATTTCTCCTAAAGATACCACGCCTCGGTATAAGCCAATCACAACTGCACCACCAATACTTCCCGGAATAAAGGTGATCAGAACACGTTACCATCTCCGAACAGAAAACACAGTCACCATCTCTGACCTCTTTGGAAGTCATTCGATGGAGTAAAAGCAAGTACGTGGATAAGATCGAGTTTAGAAATGGAGAGAGTGGCCGATATGTGTTTACTGTCCGGATTATGATCTATTCATATTCATTTGAATTCCCTTTAAGAAATTAAAAACGATTTGATCAATTCAGAGCATTGCTTTTTGCAAATAACATACCGAAACAAATCGCTGAAATGAACGAACTAAGTTAGGTCAATCATGAAGTCTACGGAGTGGCGCGGGTTGGGTGCTAATGACGAAGCATGCCAAAAAGCATGTGCAAAACAACATCAAATTGTTCAATCGTCAACTTAGAATTATCTTATTTCTATCTATCGTGACCTATAATTATCCTTCATCGATGTTACTTTGTATCTGTGGCAATCTGATTTCAACCTCTTATAATTTGAAAAGACCATGGGAGTGTTGAGTGAGTTTTATCTGTTGATCAATTCCAATAAACCACTATCGCGTCGCAATTCAGTTGGCTAATATAAAATTGCATCGCCATCGTTAATAGGCAAACTAACTCAGCTCAGCTCACACTAATATTTAAATAATGAAATTTCATCATGAGCTGAATTAATAAATAAATCTTTCGATCGCTTAGAAAATGTGCGTTACAATAAAGTTGTTTGAAAGTCAACTCCAATCAAAACAAACTGTTTCAAAAATTGTAAGAAAATATGGATGTCTATCAAGAACGAAAGTGAGTTCGGGGAAGATGGTTCTTACTATAATTCAGTTGCAACGATGGATCGATTGCCTTACCAGCCAGCTGAATATTACCCCTCGGTTTTGCACCCAAATATGCCAAATTCACGTTGGCTTTACGACCATCGATAATGGGATTCGGATCCTTGCAAGCACGTTCTGCGGCAGCTCTGTCTTTCATCGTTACCTTCAATTTCATCATTGCAATGACACACAGTCACAATGATGATGGATGCATATGAGCACATAAGGAACACTTCTCAATGCTTGCGAATATGCTTTTTTTGAATAGAAAACTTTTGAATTGAAAATTCTTTTTTGCTTTTTGAATGTTTTTGGAATAGAAAATCAATTTCACCGAAAAACTCGGTCATTGATGGAGAATCGGAAGTGAGTGCAAAGATAATGAGTGGCAGTTTGTTTTTTTAAGAACTAAACTGCTCATTTGAAGTAAGCGGCGACATGCGGAAGTGAATAAAGAATTAACGTTGAACAGAAGCAAATGGCTCATTACATTCACATTGAAGGATAACTTAAAAATTCTTTGCGTTGAAATTTTCGCTTCGAATTTTTCGTTCCGTACGTGGGCCTTCTCACCGCCGGAGAAAAAACGGGTAAATTTTCGAAATTCGCACACCAAACAGGAAAAGCTGAGAGAAAAGTGCAGACAGCTTTCAACAACAGGTGGCCTGGGCTTTGAATCGTGAATATGATTTTTTTGGTATTTTTAATTGTTGCCAACGCTGAATGCAATTAAACAGATGCTATCACTGCTGTTCCCTTCAGATTTCGAACGATGAAAAAGCAGTCTGTAAAGAATGCTGAAAAAGGCACTTACAAAGCCATATCCTCTACTTTTCTGCGTTTGTCGATCTGTAATAACGACTGCCTCTTCGATTTCACCGAATTGTTCGAAATATTCATGGAGCGTTTTATCTGATGTGTGATAAGGCAATCCACCAACAAAAATTTTCGTGAACGTTGTATCACGTGATCCTTCAAAATACACATTTACTTGAGGTATGCCTCAGATATTCGTAGGCAATAATTAGCTTTTGCAATGTTCAGAAAGAGAGGATGAGTCTCCTGCGAATAGAATAATGATCAAGATATGAGTAACGTGCCAGCGGTTCTCGAATTACCTGTGCCAATAACTGGATCAGCCGATTGAGCAGCCAAAGCAGCTGCAGCCGCCTGAACAAGAGGATCACTGATGACGCCCGTTGTTGTGAGCTGTCCGTAAAGTGAGGGAATCATTTCTGAAATCGCTATGATGCGCTTAGAAGCATTCACTGATCATTAATCCACGACATACTCACTCAAGTGGATAGAAATTGCACGTGCAAAATTCTGATGAAAACACATTCAGCATAATAATTTTGAAGGTATCGCTTGATCAGTCATTCGATTCAATGAAATATTATCATCAGAGTGTATTCACGGGTTTGCAATATTTATATTGATGAGCATTCATGATACCTCCCACTCTCAACTTCGGCTACTAATCAGTTAGATACATGATTTTTTCCTGGATGAAGACGACAAATGAAGGGAAAAGTGTTGAAAGAAAGAGGGTATTCAGAGCGATTGTATAACTTCAAAGGTATCCTATTAATGAACAAATCGTGTTTTTGGTTTCGTTGTGATCAGTTGCGATTTGGCAAACAAATGATAATGAAAAGTTAAGTGATGAAAATTTGGAACTCACTTGAATAATGTGAAGCGGTTAGGCAAAATGTATAGAGTAGACAAAGCGAACAGCACAATAACTGAACAAACACTTGAAGTTAGATAAGTTATTTAGCTCGAATACTGAAAATAAATATAGTTCCGTTTAGGTGAAGTTGTGTTCAAAGTCTCAATTTAACGTCCCCAGAACCATGCTCATTCAGTGCACTATTGCTTCAATTCTTTTAGAGTACATGCATAGTATCGCGTGTTATATTACTATTAATTCTTATAACTGCATAAAATATCTGCAACTTGACTGACGTTCAAGATGATTTCTCTTTTCAGCTAGAAACTTTCATCGTTATGAGTTTAATGATCATAATTATCTTCATTCTTTAGTAGTCAATTCTTATTACAGATTAATTCATCAGCACACATCATAATGATTCAAATGATCAATAAATCATGAAGCGGAAGTCTCCACAAAAACTTGAAAAATGAAGAACTGACCGAAAACTATTTGGACACACGACACCGCACACCACACACAACTGAAGAAAAAGCGGGCACTCAACAGGCGTCCGCTGAAAGCGAATCTGTCTGTAAGTGAACGATCTGAATTATTATAAATGCACATACTTTAAATCCTCGAAGATTAACTCGTGTAAACAATCACACTTAAACTGAGCGTGTTTATGTGAATGAAGTGATTAACTTTCAAACGATACACTGCACAGATGTAATATTACAGTTTATTGTTTTGAATAGCATTTTCAGTTATTCAAAACAATTGCCAAGTAATTTCATTCGCTGTGCTTACATCGCATTTAACACGTTAACTTCACGTTACACCTCGTTGCAAACGCACACATGTATTATTTACTTATGCGAACGATTTCATAAGATACTTTTGAGTGAGTAATTTCATGAGAATTGGGTACATATATTTAGACTATAACACGAGATAAGATTATTCAAAGGGCGCGTATGACGAAGACGACAATGCGTGGTATGAGAGCCTTATTGTATTCATTTTTCCAAATTCACAAACTTTGTTTGGATGGTGCAAGTTCGGTACGAATTCAGGTAAGGTTTGATAAGCTGAGGTGGAATTTTGAGAAGATGAAACACATTAACCGGAACAAATGCAATATATACACACAGTGACTAGACTGAATGAGGACAAATCGGTATGATATTGTTATGTTGAAGATGGTAGTAAATAAATCATACGTGCTTGCATATTCAATACTCATGAATCATTTGAATTGCAGTGCATTTGATGAATTAATATGGCTCTTTTTCTGCATTGTTTACAACACAATGACATTTGTTGTGCAACTCGCGAACACCACTGCAATTCTGACGAAAAAAACTTCTGCGGATAAAATAATAAGTGAATGGCTGAGTGATTGCTACCGTAATTTCACATACGTACAATACGATATAAATTCGGAACGGTAACGTTGTCAGCAAAAGACAAGAGGATTTAAAGAACTAAATATAACGATTGTTACAAGCATTGCATCACATCATAAAGTTTTAATGAGCTGAAGCAATCTTGATATAAAATGATAGAGTACTGCTATGAAATCTTGAAGACATCCGCTTGTCTGATCGTTCGAGGAAAAATTTGTTGGTAATATCGCTGAGGTTTACTTGCAATGAATGGGTCACCTCCTCCTTTGAACTTAAGATGACGATCAATCGAAAGATGCGACTCATTATTAATCCTTTGATGCTATCGGCTGGCAAAATTTTGATTCTAACACATTCACGAAGCACTCTGATTCTGACACTTGACACAGTGATCTGAATGAAGTTCTAAAAGTCATTAACAAGTGATCAATACAATTTTCATGATGTTAGCTGATCAACCATGACGATCGATTTGAATCTCACTGATGAATTCAACTCAACTTCAATCTCACTGATTTTCGTAAAGCAGTGCTCGTGGCAATAAGAATATCAACTCGAACACTCTACTAATGCTAAGAGCATTTCATTTTCTCTCGGCAATTCAACGATATTTGCGTTTTGTGAAATTGAACTACTCAAAAATGTACATATTCTTATAAACCAATTTTCTTTCGCAGCAATCTGTTCGGGATGAGTGGGATAATGAATAAGATTGTATTGCGAAGAGTAGATTATCGCATGAAAAATGCATAGGTGGTTATGGACGTAGTGGTTGTTTAGCTGAAACAGTGAATGAATTATCAATGAAATGATGATGTGTTCTGATATGCATATGAACTATTCTAACGTCAGCGCTCGTTTAAACGAACCTTCTTCCCACACCTCCTCACTTGCAGATTGATAAAAGTATCGAAACTTGTTAGGAAAATAGAAAAGGGAGCGTTATTAGCACGCTGCTTAAGAACATAGCTCCATTAATTGCTAATTAGCTAAAAAGTTTTGTTTCGCTTAGAGTATTTCGTTACTAGCTTTCTGACGAAAAAAGGGCGGAAACTTCTCGCCGAAAGTGCCGCTAATTGGCAAAATAACGGTATTTTCACCAAAAAAATACTGAGCAAAATTAGTCCGCTAATTGTTACTTTCAAGTCTTCCTTCAAAATTTGCAATCATGCCGCTAATTTGTCAGTAAATTAAGCCATTGAACAGCTGATAGTTTTCATCCAATCATTCAAAAGCAGGCAATCAACAAGAAAGTAACCAAATAACGGTAATAAACTGAAAACAATCAACTGGCAGTAGCCCTTACAACGCTCTTATTGCCTTTCAAGAATATCAACACGCTGAGTATTTCGTCTGTAATTCTGGATCGTTTTGATCTTATTATGTTCTTGAATAGCGAGAAGAGAAATGAGCAAACCTTCATCGCATTGCCATGTGGCTTATTCAAAGTCACATAACCTAGTGATCTCAGATGGAGAGCTGATGGTACACTTATAGCAAGTATTTAGTGTTCAACTTCGACTTGTTAGAACGACTGCGATTACGATGAGTTCGAATTTAGCATTTGTCAGTGCGAGATCGTAAATATGTATTTGACTACTATCTTAATGTTGGGAAAAGTAAGCATTCCCTTGCAGACGAAGAGTACCAAGTTAGCGGAAGTCTGAAAAAAAGTAGCTCGCTAGAACGCCAACGAAAGGAAATAGCGCAAGATACCACTACTTTATACCGCTAAAAAATCACAGTGGCGGAAATTACCGCTATAAATTTTCACTATATGAAAAAAGTAGTGAGCTAGCGCGCTATCAAAAAGAGTGACTGCGCTGGTAACGGAGTAGCAAATAGTGCGCCCACCACTGGTTACTATTAGCAGGATAATTAATCGCTACCAAAACAAAATCACGAATAGTCAGCGAAATATACATGCGATGTTATTGCATTATTTCCGTCTTTCTCGCCAATGCATACGCACTCACCCTTCTTGAACAAAACACTTCATGCACGCAATGAACAAACAACATGATCAAATTTCAGCTGTACCTTCGCAATAAGCAGCTGATTTCGGCAGTTGTCAACATGAAAGTTGTTAGTCTCTCGCAGAAGACCATTCAAAAAATGTGACTAAATTGCTCGCATCGAGCAACAGTGATCAAATTTTGCATGAAATAATATTGCAGCAAACCAATACGGTTGTTGCTGCGAGAATGAATGTTGACGGCGAGGAGAGCGATTAAGATGCTGGATCATGAACGCGTTCTCGTCGCAGTAACCAACAAATTGTGAACAAAAAATACAAGGAGACTTTGCCAATTTAACGATTCTTATATCTCCGACAAAGGTTGCTTAGCTATTGTTCCCTATTGGAGAGCTGTCGTCAAATGACGGCAGCACAAGAGATGCATGGAATTCTAACGCTGCTATATAGCAACAAACGTAATTTGACGTTGTCCTAGCCAGTTTTGTTTCAGCTCGCTATCATAATACTAATAATGCCATATGCATATAATTAATGATGGATGCAAAAAGAGTGACTACTCGAACAATGAGCAATTGCATAGAATGGTGAAGATAATTTGATTAACCAACTGGAAGAAAGATTAACTGTTGTTGGTCTGAAATAGGCGTAGATGAGAATCAATAACCATTCATTCAATCAGGACCGGTTTAAAGATCTGAAAGCCGCTGAACTAAGAATTAATTCCCTCAATATGTACTATTTTAATAGCACTTTTTTTGAGTGATGAATATATGCTCATTTGATGAGCGTTACGAAACGGTTTCCAGAGATTACTGCTGCACAAGAAAAATATTACGAGGATGAGAACAGCTTCGAAACTGTGCACAACGAAACTTCAAAACTTTATCAGCACGTTCGTTTGGTGTGATGTATCGCTGTTCTTTTGCAAGATTCTGTTGTTTACTCACATTTTAGCCGAAAATTTGCAATGATCAACTTTGTTCGCTTTGACTCGAATGTTAGATGATGAAAGGATATCAAAATCAGTTATTACACAGCAAATGAGCGTTGCATTTTGGGAACGTTTCCTTCAACGAACAAACGTAATGTGAACCTGTGTTTGTCAGCACCCAATGGTGATTGCAACTTCGGTGATTGGATACGTTTTTAGAACCTATTATTCCACAAGATATTGATCGAAAAATTCTAA